TGATGGCGGATGTATCTGAGTGCCAAGCTTCCAGGATTTCCCTAGCATTTTTGGACTTAGCTTGGTCTAGGATACAGTGGTACCTCGGGATACGAACGCCTCTGCTTGCGAATTTTTCGGGTTACGACCAACTCGGGATACGCCCAGAGTCACGGAACGGATTAAGTTCGTATCCCGAGGTATCACTGTACTCAGTTTCCCAGTTGAAACTATGGTTGAGTCTGTCCATGTGTTATGAGATTAAGCAGTTCATCATGTCTTCTGACTGCTAGTTGGTATTCATGGATGCACTCCATTAGTTTTCTGCCTGTCTGTCCTGCATAGTGGCTGTTACAGTCCTTACACTGTATATTGTAGATGACTTCTGTTTTTTCTTCTTGGGCTACTGGTCTTCTGGTTTACTTAAGATGTTTTTGAGGGCTTTAGTTGGTTTGTGTGCTACTGGGATGCCATGTGGTTGTAATAGTCTATTGGTTGTTTCTGAGATGTTTCTGGTGTATGTCAGTGTTATCCTTTTCATAGCTTGTGTTGGTTGTGCTGTAGTGGGTTGAGTGGTCAGGCACTTTTTCATAAAGTTGCATGGGTATCCATTTTTTGTGGGAAGATGTTGTACAGGCTATCCGTTTCCTTTTTCTGGTGTTCTGGGTTGCTGTAGTGCATTTGTGCTTGTCTGAATAATGAATAATGAAAAACTTCTCTTGTGGGAGGTTGGGTTGATACTTTAGTAACAGAGCACTTGGTTAGTGTGGGTTGTTTTTTGATAGACTTGTGTTTCTAATTTGCTGTCATTTCTCCTGCTAATGAGGATGCCCAGGAAGGGTAGTGTGTTGTTGTTCTCTTCTTCCCTTGTGAATGTTATTCCTTTGAAGATGTTGATTGTTTCATGTGTCTCTTTTAAATGATCCATTCACAAAGATCCTTTGGAATGCCCCAAGTGTAGTACTTTTTTCTGTCATTTCTGGAAGTTTCACTACTTTTCTAATAACAGCCATTTCAATCCAGAAAGGGGGAATTAAAAAATGGCTGTTATTAGAAACGTAGTGAAACTTCCAGAAATTGGAATTCCTTTCTGTAAATTGTCAAGTCTTTAGACCCATTCAGTACACCATAGTTCTGTAGTCAGATGGTCTTTAGCAACTTTCCCTTATCTTTTGTTTTGCAAAGCTGTCCAATTCTTGTCCCTAATTAGTCCAAATAAAACTCTTTCCGACAGAGATATATATTGTTTACTTGTTTTACAAATACTTTCAAATCAGTAAATCCAAATTCAATGGTCCTCTTAGTCTGTTTTAAACTTTCTTAATTTAAACTCTTGGCAAGCTTTTTGCCTTTATTTTGAAATTCTTTAAATTATTCCTTTGCTCTTATCTTTAATCTGGGATGAAAGATCACTCACTGGGTGGCTTGACTGCTCTGCTGTATCAAAGATCTCTCTTTAACTTTGAAATAATTGTCTTCCAAATGTGTTTAAGAAAGTGGGGACTTTTGCAAACCCAGTGCTTTTTTGCAAGCTCTACTGAAACTGAGAGCTCACTGTCTCAGACTCACAAGAAGATTGCAGAACTTCTTCAGATCTTGCAGGTCTTCTCACAAGAAGCAGCCTTTTGGAGCACAAGTGAGCAATCTCCTGGCCTCTCTCTATCTGGAAAGGTGTTGTTGACCCGGGTTTAGTGCCAAGCCACTAGTCTTCACTGCAGTGTCGTCTCTGCTGTTCATGGAGGCACATCAGTCTGCCATTTTCCCCCCACCCAGAAGCCAATGCTCATAACTCTTCTGTCTGCTAGGCTTAGATCTTTTGTCAAATAAGGAGTAAAATGCCACTATAATACAGGTAGTCAACCTACAACCATTCATTCAGAAACTGTTCGAATTTACAACGGCACTGAACAACTGGTCCTCTGGCCATCCCAGCACCCCGCAGTCACATGATCACTATCCTGGGTGATTGGCAACCGGTTCCCACTTACTACTGGTTGCAGTGCCCCACGATCACGTGATCACCATTTGCAGCCTTCCCTGCTGGCTTCCCCAAAAAGTCAATGGGGAAGCCAGCAGGAAAGGTCACAAGTTGCTGGGGTAAGTCTCTCCCACCTGCGCACCCTCTCCCAGCCCCTCTGCACTCACGCCACGCCAACCACTCGTGCACCCCTGCGCAGCCTCCCCAACATGTGCTGCACTCTCATGCACCCCCTCACACCCTCCCTGACCCTTGCCACACCTCCCCCACACACACCCTAACTCACTCCCCCACCCAGCAGCAGCCATTTACCTGCCTGCCAGCCTGGGACTTGCAATTTCCTGCCACTTCCCCACAGACTTTGGTTGTGGGAAGCTGGCAGGAAGTTGCCTTACCTAACAACCATCAGATTTAGTTAATGATGGCAACCGGGACTGCAGGGATTTTCGTTGCTAAGCAATATGGGTGTGCTTTACAACCACAGTGCTTAGCAATGGAAATTCTGGTCCCAATTGTCATAAATTGAGAATTACCTGTCCTGAGCTCAAATATTTATTTATTTATTACAATTTATATGCCGCTCTAATTGAAACTGGACTCTGACATTTATGACCACATCGCTTAGTGACAGAAATTCCAGTCCCAATTGCCATCATAAGTTGAGGACTACCTGTATGTTTGAAATCTTTTTCTATACAACTAACTAGGATATACTTGTAAGAATGGAGATTTTCAGGGGAAAGATCATTATTTCTTATTCCTGCCTCATTGCATGTAGCTATCTGCAAGTTTGTTTTCATTTAGACAGTATTTTTTTAATAAAAGACAAAATACTGAAAAACAGAAATTCCCTGAAAACAGTATG